CCCCCAAAAACACACAAAAACAACAACAAACAAACCCCTCAACAAAAACAAAAACAAACTAAATCTAATCTAGTTAAAGAACTTACGAAACGTTATCGTAGACAATGTACGCCGACAATCCGATGGAAATGGCGACAAAGACAACAGCTATCACCATCTGCAGAGTGAAAATAATGATAGCTCTTACTAAGAGTTTGTATTTGGTCAGAGCTAAAATAATGATAGCTCTTATTAAGACTAAGAGTTTGTGTTCAGGTATATGACCCTATGGCGATATCTGTTTAAGCGGACAAGACAAAGCAAAAGCTAATACAACTTGAGCTCGGGTGAAACACGAGTAAAGTAAAAGAAATGGAAAGGAAGAAACGCAGAAAAAAAAACAAAAACTGAAAACATGTATGCATGTCAATTCGTCCAAATGCTCTGTTTCATATTTTTCTCTTTGTTAGTTTAGAGAGCTTTTTTTACGTTCCAGACATCTAAAGATAAAAAACCCAAAACAAACCAAAAGACCCCACAACACCCCCAAACTTAGTAAAAAAGCAAACAAAAACCAAACCAAGCCAAAACAAAAACAGCTCACGAGAAGAAGAGGAACATAGCGATGGATTGGTCACACACCCAAGAAGCCAACACACAGCCAGACAAGACAAACCCTTAGTTAGAACCTCCAGGGGATGAGAAAGAGAGGAAGGCTGATCTCGAGATCCACATGGGAACGAGATCTGGACACAGATGTCATGCATGTGGGACACACACACAGTCGCTGGCTGGAGGAGGAGAAGATTGCTCAGAACAGAAACAGATGGAGAAGTCTTCTAGGCGGCTTATCTGTACGTGTACCAGGGTGACAGAGGCGAATGATGATGATGATGATGATGATGATGATGATGATGATGATGATGATGATGATGATGATGATGATGATGAATGTGAGTTTAGAGAGCCTTCTTTACTTTCCAGACTTTTATAGCCGACGTCTGTGGTGTAGCGATCAGGCGCCTCGCCGTCATTAGTGTAAGACATGTGTTCGATTCCGGAGTGAGAAAAATTTTAATCGCGAATCTCCCTCTACCTCTGCCGACACGATTTGGTGCATCTCTCTCATCCCGGGTAGATATATCAGGAAGGGGCAAAACCGGCCTCCTAAACGATAAGCATATGTGTAGACTGGGGCGTGAAAATTCTTCACTTAGAATTACAAGACGAGTAGTATACCGTTTTAGCATCTCCGTGAGCTCGAGTGGGTTATATACTTGTGGGTCCTGAATTGAAGACGGGACGTCGCAGTATCAGTCAGGCTTAGGGCCCGTGTCCACTGCAACGGACACCAACCGACCCGATTCCGTCCGTCTCTCGGAAAGTCGGTAGTTGAAATGGAGCACCGTTTATTTCCTAAGAAATCAGTGAAAAGTCCGTTTGGCTGAGTCAACAGACACGACACGACACACCCTGACAAAAGACGTGTCGTTTGGAAAACCGCTTGCTCAATTTTAACCCGACCGGTTCGTGACTCATGAGCCATAGGCCCGCCGGAGCTAAACACAAATTCCAATTTTGAGTCCGGATCAAATTCTAATGTCATATTCGTAATCAGTGCCTCAAAATTAGCAAAGTCTAAAGCGAAAACCACCTGGTTTAAATGCATATTAACAATTTTACCAATTTTCCTTTTAAAAAACCCTTCATTTCTTATTCCCGCCTTGGGTTCATTGACCTAGACTATTTATAGCCCTGCACCGAGGACACAGCCTTGGGACACAGTGTGTGGAATAATACGGCCAGTGGGCCAACCGACTACACGTGTCTTGTCCGAATTGGCGGACACATTAGACGAAAACGACCCCACCGATTTTCTTCCTCCCGACAAAAGATCGGGCCATGTCCGTCTCAGTGGACCCGTAGGGTAAAGGGCCTATCACACGAGCAATTGGACAGATATATTTAGGTGTTATGTCGGCCTTCTGTCCGTCCTCAGTGTGTAGAAAGAACATTGGCTGAAATCACCAGATGGGCTGGCTTCTTTCCATTTAGATGAGTACTTCTAGTTTTAATAGTTATTGTACTTTTATCCATTCAATATTTCTCTGTCTGTCTGTCTGTCTGTCTGTCTGTCTGTCTGTCTGTCTGTCTCA